GTGCACTGACTCACATTCCAATCATAGTAAACACGCATTCCTACTCTACTTAAGTAATTAAGACATTTATGATTTTGCTTTTAAACATTCAGGATGCTGACACAACCCAGCATCACCAATAAATGCGTCTTTTACAAATTGGATTTTTCCTTACTTACACTATAAAACAGAAGATTAGAAGTAAAAGGGGACACTCTTTCATTAGGTGTCTTGGGAATATTTGATGTTTATACGTTTTGAAGATTCACCTGGATGGTTTTTGGAGGTTGCCTCTTTGGCGATTCGGTTCAAGAACTTTAAGTGCAGGACAGCAATGACAGATAAGCTTGTTTAATAACGGCTCAAGATCGCCGTGTTAGTATCACCCGTCGAATGCGATTGAGACATGAAAGCAGATACAGCCGTCATGTTAACGAGGTTTCCTGGAAGCCACCTGTAGGTCACTCACTGGTGGCCATATAGCGGTGTAAGGAAGTCTAACTGCATCGCTGCCATATTTATTGGCAACACTTTTTAAGTAGCGCCAGGTGACGGTAAAGGCCTTCCAACAGTAGATGTTGCCTGGAGTTACAGACACCCCGCTACTTACGGACTTTCAAACCTACGAACGAAGAGGACCGCAACTCGCCTTTTCTGGGCTGCGATTTCCTGACCGTAATAATCAGCATCTGTTGTGCGCACCATTCCCACTTCGTACGAATTTTGGTCACTATAAACGCTGCGCAGCACCGTAAGAGACGCTGTCCGCAGCCGTCCAGTTTTTTGTACTTGCCTCTCCCGGTAAGGAATGTTCCCCTGAGATCAAACTTATGTTCGCTGTTATCGCGAAAGATGCTGTCCATCCCCCTAACCATCATGGTTGGTGAAAAGGGTAAAGCAGGTGATGAGGGTGGTTGTGTTAGGAACGATAAAACGGCCCTACTGGTCTCCGAGTTTTTTTACACCTGAGTCAGATGAATTCTTTTAATTTACCAAAAATCTCTATTTAGCTATCTTCATACCTACTTATGGATGCAAAGTGGAATGCAGCAAATTACCAAGTAAATGTTGTTGAATAATGACTTGCAAACATTTCGACCTATGAAAGGCCGTTTGGATTGAGAAATGTGTGTAGGTCTACTCATATTGCTGTGGGAATGGCTTCAAATTATGCCCTGTAGTGCGGCGGGTACGAATTTAAGCGAGATTGACTGACAGAACGCAATCTGATGACACTCTCAACGTGGATATCTTGTCAATCAGGTGCAAATAATCGCTGTTTCTTGTCCTAGGTGCGAAAAACTGTATCATCAATGAATTCAAGGTAACCGGAAGAGCTCCTCT